GATAAACCAGAAGTAATAAAAGATAAGTTTTAAAAAAGAGAAATTGCGGACATTGCGTTGCTTGTTTGTCTCAATTCTAGAAGTAAGCTTGTAGTGCTTTGATCTATTCGCATTATCATTAGCATGTACGTATGCGCGAATTCATATTGTGAGTGAATAGTTGTATGGAATTTGGTGTTACATTTTTCATTCTGTCGTATGATGCAAACGGATTAAATCCAGGGGCGGATTAAGCGGTAAGCGGACTAAGCGGCCGTGTGGGGCCTCGGAGGAGCCCGGAGGTCTAAAAATATCTTAACTTAAAGATTTTAGAAATGACCGAAAAGGGGGGGTGGTGGGTTCAAAAATGCTCCTTAAAATAATCAAACAAATCTAAAAACAAAATGTTAAATTTATGGCCTCTAAATTGGACTCTTTAACTGTTTATTTCAGTAAATGTTTAATAGTGACGCAAAGTAGAACAACATNGACAGTGTTTCCCAATATGGGTCCCACGCCCCACAGGGGTGCAATTTGATTGTTAATAGGGCAAATTCGAAAATGGACCTATCCAAAATTTTTTAATTACATTTCCTTTTTATTTGTAACATAATGAGAGTTTCTTCAAGATCTTTTTTTGGGCGGGGGGGCAAAATGTTTACCACTAAGGGTTCCCACTTAATCCGCCGCTCGTTAAATTCCACGTATAATAATAAGGTAGAGGCATTATATATACGGGGTGTCTTCAGATTGGACGATCAAACTGCATCAGTATATACTATGAGTAAAAAGACGGTGGACGGAACTTTGAAATAGAAATATAAACTTCTTTTCAATGTAATAGACCGTGATAATAAAGTATTTTCAGACCTAACTTTATATAACATTTTCTCCTTATTGTTACTCACAGAACATACGGGTATAGTTTCATTGTTTAATCCGGAGACATCCTGCATATACAATAATATGGAAACCCGTATATATAAGGTTTCGATATTTCCTCAATTTGTGTGCCAAATGTAAAATGAGAATAGTGGTGGGAGAGAAGAAGAGAAATTAAATTTCTGTTTTCTAATGATACTATTACATCCTATCAAAACACAACGCTACTTAATACATTATTCATTTAATTACTTCACTAATTCGTTTAATTATTCGATGCTCAAGACTAATTATAAGGATATGATAAGAAAAGAGAAAGAATAGTCTAATATTTTGACTATATCTCTAAAGAATCAAATTAAATTATATCGCCAAGGAATGCGAAATTGGAGTTAAAGAGAATTTCCTCAAGATTATTTATTGTTAGACTACGAACTTTATGCAATTATAAGAAAATTGAATGTGCAAATGACACGTGTACTAATTAAGGCAATTCAGAATATAAAAAGCTGAAATTCAATGTTTAAATATTCCAACAAATGTTTATCTAAAATACATATTTTAAACGGATACTATAAATATTTTACTTTTTCATAAAGATCTGCAATCTATATTACCAAGACGACGCACAGTCGTCCGAAACCGTAAAAACGCGAACATAATTTAAATTTTCAACATTTTTAGAAACTAATGAATTTCAGAGTACTGATTCTTATATCTCCTGTCTAAATAACTACATAAAAGTAAGTTGCTATGAGTAACTCGGAATATTGTAAGACAGCGTTGAAGTCAAAGAAAAATGTCCAGAAAATGCATATTTTGATGCAATTCATATGTATTATATTTTTATGTAAACGAACATTTGATGCAATGAAGCTTACAAAGCGTGAAAGAGTATTCTTTTAGCTACAAGTACACATAACATTTGTTAAGAAATACATATTTTAACCTTATAAAAATGTTCATTCACTTTTTTCAATATCCCCTCCCGTTTTTTTCATTTGACGATGATTGCAAGTTGGAATTTACGAGAATTGACAATGAGTTTTACTTGAGAGTGTTCGTTGGAATATACTTAAGACGGATACGCAAAAAATTTTTATTACTACTTGCTAATTTAGATGGTATAATAATAAAAATGTAGTTAATGTAAAGAAAATTGTTACTGTCATATGAAAGGAAGGATTTGAATAAGGATTTACACTGTTTATAACTTAAAATGGTGAAGTACAATTTGCAAGCGGAATATCAGAAATTCGTTTTTAAGTATTCTGCACATTGTTAAACATTCCGATACCCGATTATAAAATTTTATTGCCTACGGCCTACGTGCTCGGCTGGGATTATGTGTTTGGTAATCCCTTCTCAAATTATGGTAAGTCTAAGTTGAGATCCACAAATCAGTTCATTTACACATGAGAAGTACGAAAAGAAAAGTGTTAAAATGTAATTATTTTTCATGAGTCAGACTTAAGACGCGATAAAGCGTATGTGTGAGTTGCGCCTTCTATTCTTGCGCATGTACGTATATTCGTATGACTATGTCGATTATTGAAAAGGTGTCAATGGCCGGTATTCAGAGTCTTTACTTATTCTTAAGATTGTCTAAAGAATTTGCTATCCCTGTCTATCCCATATTTCTAGTCCTTCTTCTTCTTCTTTTGGAAGAATCAAGGGATGCGGTAGCGTCTCGAAGGCAAGTATCAGTCTGAAGGTGGCAGCTTGTCATCGGGTACCGCGTCCCTTATACAGGGTGTCCCAGAACTAATACTACGCCCAAAAATGAGGAGGAGCTGAGGTGATTTTAAACAACTTTTTCCGTTGTGAAAAACTTGTCCGAGGCGTGGTTATTGAGTTATTAACACAAATCCCCGACCAATTAGAGCGGGAGTATACAAGGCGGGCAGGAACGTGACAACCGCCTCGTGCATTACCGCGCCAGTATGTCGCGCTCGTGACGAGAGCATAGGTTTAAAAAAAAGTTGCATGCAAAAACGAATTAACAAATAGGTTAAATATCAGAAGAAAGAAAGAAATTAGTCGTTACACTGAACAAATGTAACATGCTCAATGAAATAACAAACAACTTTTCAAGTTACAGAATAGATAAAATTATGAAAAATGCGAAAAGAATCAGAATTGGACTTACTTTTTCATTGGTAAGTGCACCTGCTCCTAGAGAACGTGAATGGGTCAATGGGTCGACCTTCGGTACTCGAAGACAGAAACACATGGTCCGCAGCAGCTGATGCTTGGAGCAAGTCAGTGACCTGCCGATTCGTTCCTTATCATCACGATCACTGTCACTTTCACACTGGCAAATTTTCACAAAACAAAAATTGTCACTTTTACACTTTCCAAATTCACTGCCACTTTTCATTTTACAAATCTATTGTCACATTACACTTTGCAGTTGAAAATTTGCATACACGGTTTTATTTTAATTGTTAGTTCCGATCGGAATACCGTTCGCAGAACAATTCCACTGCCGCTCTTGGATTCTAACTCACTTACGCGTAAATAACGAACATATTAAAATGTTCCGTGTTCGTTAGGGCATGCACCATTCTGTTTAGTAACGCAAGGCAACGCCAAATGACCGTTCGCTCGAAGATTTTTTTCCAGAAAGTCTTTCCCCATTCGGTGGACAAGTCCGTTACAGAAAATATGTTTGTATTTTTCAATTAAACTCGGCCTTCGTTTCCTTGTCATCCCTAAAAATTCTTCACGTGCAGAACACTCGAACCGATGAGAAGAGACAGTCCCCAGACTTGCACTTACCAGATGCCAAGACCGAATTGCCTTTTGTTGTACACACTCTGCTGGGCGCATGCTGACCGAGCCCATGGGATAAAATCGTAAAAAGGAAAGCTTTGATTTTCTTCGATTACCATTAAAAAGACGTTAACGGTTAAAAACACTGCCTTCCAAAAATTCACCGCAGAAAAGGATTCTACGTTTCGTATAACTACTGCCCGACGTGATGCACACTCTCGAGTCGTATTCGTGTAATGAGTAATGTAATTTCTTCCATTCATAACTCATTCATAATTCAATTGCAATGGAAGTTATAAATACAAATATCTTACATTGCTCATTACAGTCGTACTCGGCAACAGATTGATGATGCCACGGTTATTGTGAAATTAAGGTATACGTGAATTACGATCCACGGTGTGTATCACATCAGAGAGCACGAAACGTAGAAAGAAATGTTTTACTGTATGGGAATGAGTGTGAGTAGCAAGGGATTTGCGAGGTGGTTCCGGATAACGGTGTTTCTGCAAAACCAAGGGAGGCGTTGGATGTTTAAAGCGCGTTTAATTGATAAATAAAGTTCTCGCCTTACAAGAATGTCATATAAATGAATGAGCTTACTTTAAACATTGAGTTCAGATTTAGCACTGAATTCACAAAATGTCTGTTTGCACGCTTTCGTCGTTTATATTAAACGCGAGAGTTTAATGATTAACTGATTGCTGAGTTAATCAATCCGAACTAGAAGTTACGGCCCATGAGATTATATTAATTTCACAGAATGTGAGATTAGAACTGATTGCGATTGCTATGAGAAACGTGCGTCTGGTGCTGATCATGCTGATGACTCTGAAACGAACAGTGAGGACCGTTGACCGTGAATTCGGGGCCTGGCTTCTTCCTGCGCAGGATTTATGCGTCCATTCCATCCATTTATGCGTCTCCTGCGCACGTACGAGGTCCTTAGTAATTGGCTCATCGATTCGGGCATCGATCGCATGATCCTGTGCTCGATGCGAGAGCGCCTTGAATTTCTCAAACATTTACAGTACTAAATTTTTAAAAAGCAGTGTTTATTGTCACCTACCTCTTTTTAAGGGTAATTGAAAAGAAGCAGATTTTTTCTTTTCAAAATTTTATGGCAAGGTCTCGCACAGCGCGCGCTCTAGTTGATAAGAGGGTACGCATTTGGCAGGGTTTTGTGTCGTGGCGCCCAGGGGCTTAAGGAGTCGCCTGACCGGTACTGGAAAGCTGCCCGAGTACGCACCGAGGACCGACAATATCCATCTGATCATAAGCTGATTGCCGATATCCTAAGAGTTTTGTATGACTGAGTTTCCCCGCGTGGAACAGGCATCGAGCCACAAATTGCATACGGGGCTTTAGAGAACTTGAAATTTATCTAGGAAAGTCATGGATTCTGGAAGACCTGCGTAATAAATATTATTTGACATTATATCTCTAAAGAATAAATCAAATTTACATTAAAGAAAACAAATTGTTTAAAAATCGAATATTAACACCGATATGTTATTGTTCTCGCGGTTAGCTCGATTTCTACCTTCGGAGAAAAAAAACCTCAATCCGAAAGCCGTGCTAATGATCGAACCGCGAATCGAATTTATGAAATTAATATTCGATTTTTAAACATACCGCCTCCCTTGCGCGATCCGCGCAATCCGATAAACGAATGAAATTCAATGCAGTGTGGAGGAATATTAGAACTTGATAGAAGGACTCACCGCTCCTGCATCAGCTGCAACGCGTGCACGAGGACCGAGGGCACTCCGCGGTCC